TGTTGCATCTTTCCCAAAAAGACTCATGGCTGTATTAGATCAAAAGGGTGCTTCTACTAAATACTGAGCAAAGGGTCTGAATACTTAGGACCATGTGATATTTCAGTTTTTCTTTTTTAATAAATCTGCAAAAATGTCAACGATTCTGTGTTTTTCTGTCAATATGGGGTGCTGTGTGTACATTAATGAGGAAAAAAAATTAACTTAAATGATTTTAGCAAATGGCTGCAATATAACAAAGAGTGAAAAATTGAAGGGGGTCTGAATACTTTCCGTACCCACTGTATACGGATTCTTTAGACATGTTCGTTTTCTCATTATATTTTGGACTGCCACTGGATCTGCAAGTCTTAACATGTAAAAGGGTTATAACAATGCAAAATGTTTTTAGATTGGGATTTTCTCCTAATGAGTGCTGGCACTAAAAAGAAAACCTTCACACAATTTATTGACCAAATCCAGGTTTTAATTAATTTAAGAGTGACACATGACATCAGAGACAAGGGAAATAATCAATAAACAATATTCAATATAAAATAGATTGTCTGAAACTAAAGAATAAAACAGAACCAGCAATAATCAACTATTAATAAATTACAGTTACATTGCACACACAATCATACAGTCTGTTCTGAATTAGTTTGCTTCACAGACTTCATTTAAAGGGCTGTACAAAACTGATTATGCACAACATATGTACGTCCAGACCGCAGTAACAAAAGGAAGATTGTGGAGATCCACCACATCAAACATATAACATATAAGAGTGCTACTAAACCAGACAACAGTAACAAATTCATATCAAGATGATGGCCTGTAAGATGATTCATGTTTCAAACTATAAACTATAGCCATGAAAAAGCCATTTGTTATGCTACAGTGAGAAAACTTGTCCTTATTTTCACTTTGTTTACGCCCGGTTTCTTTCTCCACTTCTCCCGAGTGGTTTTCGGACATGTAGTCCAGCTTAACTGACTTGCCTGATGCTAAGCAATGGTGTAGAATTGCATGAAGTGATGAACAACCTCCTAAAGTTTCTTTCAGATGAACTAGAGTGAGAATTTACAAAGTCAATGATATAATAATAACGAAGTTGTACAAGTGTGTGGTTAAGGCAAGACCAGTTTATATACAGTATTTTCATTCTCATTTGTCTAGACGGTGACTATGGAAATTTAGATTTTACTGAATGTGCGGTTTTCACAATATCCAGTGCTACAACATTTTGGATTAAATTAGTGAAAATTGCCCATCTTTTTAATTAAAAAAAAAATAAAAAATCAGATTTCATGCTTAATAACCTGTTAGATCTGCATAAAACAGTAAAACGGGAATATTGTGAAATATTATTACAGTTTAAAATAACTGTTTTCTAAAATGCAATTTATTCCTGTGATGGCAAAGCTGAATTTTCAGCTGTAGCTTGTACTGACCCCACACTTTTGAATGGTTGTGTAAAATATTCCCCAAACCATTTCTTTGATCGTATTAAATTTGATGAACTACTTGAGTTGGAAGTTATTCTGAGGTCAGATTCTTCGTAATGCTGTCTCGTCTGACTTCTCAGTTCATTTCTACTTGGCCATTTATAAGCCTAAAGTGAGGATTTAGTTGTTTTATGATTAAGCATTACACAACCAGGGGTTGTGGGATTTAAGACCGAGATTACCAGAATGAGGCTTAGGATGAGAGGAAAGTCCTCTGTGACAGTGATCCGACCAAATGCATGAGAATCACTGAAATTATAATGCAATCTAATGTCCAGCCTCAATTATAACCAGTAACTTTACCACATAACAAGAGAATCAGTTATTTACAGGCCTTTTGAGAATTAGGTGTTGTGGCAGATTACTGTAAAAGAAAAGTCAACTGGAACATTCAAATTATCTTCTCGCTTATGCAACATTGATCAGTTTTGGTGGACTGCAGTGTCCCTTAGTAATCCCCCATGACCTTTCCAGTCCATCTCTAAAATTACTTCAGTGAAAGATCTCATTTTCTAAAAAAGAACGGTTGGAACATCTGGAAGGGGTCTTTGTGGCAATAACTCCTGCTCTATATTGAGAAATGGCCCGGGCGATGCTGGGCTTCTCCTCATTGGCTGAGATTTATGACCTGTTATCTAGGGGCAGAAAGCGCATGAAGGACTACAGTAGAGATAGAGAGAGAGAGTGAAAGAGTGTGTCAGCATGTCCAATACATCTGGATGTACCAATGTGATTGGATGCTTCATCTAGCAGATTTATAACACTGTTCACCTTTTCAGGAGGACATAAAATCTTGTTTGGCTCCTCCCCTCGTGCTTGCATGAGTTCTCACATTGTAGATCAGTGCCAGCTAATACAAGCAAAGCATAATTCTGTATTGAAACCGTAACTAATGCCAACCCGTATTCAATCATCCTCTCACTTTCCATTTAACAATCACATCCATGTTCACTAAAGTGCGTACTGTGTAACACATCCTCTTCCTTTAAATATTAAATTACGTTCACAGCTCAACCCACATTCCCACGCTAACTACCCATAAAAATATCTGACAGTGTCCAGTATTCGCTACATTTCCTTCTTTGACTGACTGATTGATCATTGATACAAAATGCAGTTCATGTAAAGGCTGGTAAAGAGGATGTGTAACAGCCGAAAACCTTAAACAATGGCAGCAGCTCTCTGTCGTTGTGATGAGTGTGTTTGCAGGTGGGGTGTCAGAATGGAAGAAGAACAACATGAGTGTAGAGAGAGGGAGGAGGGGTCATTAAAGGTCATGACCTCCCCTTCTCTCAACCCCCCCCCCAAACAACCTTTTCGAAGAGCGAAAAATACGTTTTTTTTTTCTTTCTGGAATTGGAGTGGTGCACATGGAGCTCACATGATGGAACAGCTCTTGGTTCTCTCCTTGCTGAAGGAGGAGGTCAGGAGCTGCGCTTTGCTGGGCAAGTGAAGGAGGCGTTTGGACAGCCGGCGAGTGGGGCTTTGCTTTATGGGGGGCTGCAGTTTGTTAAGGCATGTTAGTGCCGCTGAGCGGAACACGCTGTGGATGCTCTTCTCCGATGTGAATGCAGAGCACTCCAGGTACACCTCTGCTCCTACCTGCTTCGCCAGCAAGGTGCCCTACATACAGAAAGATAGACTGAATGCAGTCAGAGATGGAAAAAAAGAGACGAGGAGTCTAGTTTACATAGGGAGGGTGCGATTGACTGACCTGCTCATGGGAGATGGGCGTCAGTCTCTGATTGGACAGCTCCATCAGTGTGCAAACATCTGTTCGCAGGTCCGTCTTGCAGCCGACTAGGATTATTCGAGTACTGGGGCAGAAATCCATGATTTCGGCTTTCCACTGCAGGGAGAGAGCTGTTAATATACTGCAGAAATCATATTCTTAATGAGTATTTTTTACTTGAGAAGCAACAATATGGGATAGATCACCCCAAATTTATTTATTTTTTTAATATATTTTATTTTCAACAAAAGAAAGTAAGTCATACAGGTTTGGAATGACATGAGGGTGAGTAAATGTTGACAGAATGTAAATTTTTGGATGAATTATCCCTTTAAGATTTGTTTTGACAGCTTATATATTTATTATGAGTGTATTTTGTCTTATTTCACTTTCATTTCTTTTTATTTGTTTTTAACTTGTTTATACTTAAAACAAATGGGGGGAAAATTGTCTGTGCAATGAGACAAAATACACTGCATAAAATACTAAGACTTTTCAGAAAATGCATCTTTAATTAGTGTTGTTTCTTAAGTAAAATCGTCTATTTTAAGGATATTTTAACTGGAAAAAAAGATGAATAGAATTGAAGAAGTCATAAAATGTCTCTCACCTTTTTCAGAGAGTTTTCAACAGTCTCAGGACGACTTATATCAAAGCAGAGCAGAACAGCATCTGCATCACTGTAGCAGAGAGGTCTGACATTATCATAATACGGTGAACCTGCAGGAGCAAACACATGACAAACATTAATAATGGAAACTTGGCATCAAGTAAGATGCTTGTGATAGAGGAGTGAATGCAGCTGAATATGGAAGATCAAATGCTATGAGGGAATTGACAAAGGCTGAGTAATGTAAATAGCGTTCGTATGGCAGTTCTCGTAATAGGTGTGTGCATGTGTGTGGGCGACTCTTGGAGATTCCTTTATTGACAGAATGAGTTGCCGAAGAGGTCTTGTCCCCCGCACACACCGAACCTCATCTCATTCCGTAACTACGGCAACGGCATTGAAGGATGTGCACATAAACACTCTCATACTATGGCTCTATGTCGATAGAAAATAAAATAAGTCCATTAAAGGTGCATTTCACCCAATATTTGTGCTTATAAGTATCGACTTTCAGCTCAGATGTTGGGTGTTGTGTGAGCCTCTCTGAGTCACGTACTACTGCTGTATATGTAGACAGTGACTCAGCTCACTATGTTTAGACAGAGAATATATGGCTTATCAGCAGAAAGAGAGGAGAGATATGATGAGACAAAACAATGAATCTACAGACAACCCTGATACCACTATTTATACACACTAGACAGTACAGGTCTCAACAGTAAGGCCATTGTAGCAAATTAATTCTGATTTAACTGCTTTAAATGTGTCACCATTGTCATATTAATTAGTTTGCAACCGAGATGATGTTTAGTTCAACTGAAGCATCGGTAAAAATGGAATGAAAATCATAAACCAATAACCATATACCACCATTTTCCAACAAAAGACTATTGATGATTGTATGGCTGCCTGTCACTATGAATATTATATTATATTATATTATTAACAGTGCTGGGTAGTAACTGATTACATGTAATCTGGATGTAATCTCAGTTAGGGCTGGGCAAAAAATCGAATGCGATTTTCATGCGAATCTCATCAGTAAAGCCGCTTCTGGTGATGAGTAGTAAATCTCCAGCACGTGCTTTCAGATGGAGCGGCATTTACTACACAGAGCCGTAGATCACTGACAAGCTACACAAAATCGCGTTCAAAATTGCAGGCAATTCATTGCCGATTTTGTGTAGCTTGTCAGTGAACTACGGCTCTGTGTAGTAAATGCCGCTCCATCTGAAAGCACGTGCTGGAGATTTACTACTAATCACCAGAAGTGGCTTTACTGACGAGATGTGCATGAAAATCGCATTCGATTTTTTGCACAGCCCTAATCTCAGTAATGTAGTACTTGTAATTCGAGTATATTACATTTTAAAATGTTTGTAATCAGATTATCGTTACTTTTTATGGATTACATGATTACATATTCACACAGTGGCAGTAAATTATTCACAATTTATTGATTCTGGAAGTCTGGACAAAAATAGTTCAAACCTGGAAGACTTTAGGCGTGTCATTGTTTTCATGTTTATTAATATGTGTTTAATGCAGGGATTCTCATTTTTGTCACCCCTTAAAATAAAATATTTGTTGAAATATCACAGAAGTTGTCAATATTTCAATAATTTAACAACAGATTCGCATGTTTACAGTTCTCTGATGTTGGTTAATGGTCACACTGACATGCAGGTAAACAAAAACAGTATTAAAATTTAGTATTCAAGTGTTTTAAATTGCTTTTATTTTACATTTTTATTAGTTGAATTTAATTATTAGGTTTTTATCAATTCACTATTCACTCTATCAACTCACTAATGTAATGTTTAATGCATTTTATGAAGTTGACATCAAAACATGGAATATATTTTATTTCTCTTTGCTTTTATTTTATCAATATGGTATGTTTAATGGTACGTTTAAAACAAGTTTGATATAAATGTAATCTAAAAGTAATCTAGATTGCATTACTACCTACAGTTTTCATCATGTAATCTGTAATATGTAATGGACTACAATTTGTAAGTAATCGACCCAGCTCTGATAAATAAATATCTTTATTAAAGGGGTCATATGATGTTGCTAAAAAGAACATTATTTTGTGTATTTGGTGTAATGAAATGTGTGTATGTGGTTTAAGGTTAAAAAAACACATTATTTTCCACATACTGTACATTATTGTTTCTCCTCTATGCCCCGCCTTTCTGAAACGCTTCGATTTTTACAAAGCTCATCAGTCTGAAAAGCGAGGTGTGCTCTGATTGGCCAGCTATCTAGTGCGTTGTGATTGGCCGAATGCCTCAAGCGTGTGATGGAAATGTTACTCCCCTTACCACACTGTGATGCTGTGTCCCGGCGTGACGAGACAAAACCAATAAAACCCATTTCAAACGAGGTATTTGTTGCATCCAGTGGGGACATTACAGATTATAATGACTTATACTGTCTTTTTACGCGTTGCATCGCGCCGCGTAAACATAAATCCATGTCTGCATTTGTGATCGGAAAAATGACAAACAACAAGCACTGCTCAAAACTCGCGTTTGAATCATCAGTGGCAAATTCTTTATATATAAAAAAGACGCCTTCTTTCTTTGCGTGAACATTTGGGCGGCGTTATGCAAATCTTCCCACATCATGACGTAGACATGTGGGGACGTGTTTAAACGAGGCGTTTTAGGAGGGTCTTAAGCAGTCTTAACTTTTATAAAGAATATCTCTTTTGGTTTGGGTTTAGTCTTTGCAACTTTAGGGATCTTATCTATTCACGAACAGCTTGTAACACTCCAAAGAGAAAGGAAAACTTGAAATCGCATCATATGACCCCTTTAATGTATTCAAAACCAGTTATACATTTTTATATCTTTTGTAAAGAATGTTTTAGTTTTTTAATTACATGTATTATTTTTGACATAAAAATATTTCAATTGTAGATCTACTGTGTGAGGGGTCATGGATCTTTTCAGATGTACTGTAAAACTTAATAGTAAGACATCTCCCTGTATCTGTTATACTAGGTAGCAATTGCTCTTGACACCTGACCGTAGCTACTGTTTGAAAAACAAATTATAAAAACTATATCTTCCTCTTGAATCAAATTTCTAATGATAAGAGCTACAGGAGTGGGCCACACCAGGCCCTGTCAAAGGCTCAGTCGCAGCCTCTCATGCCCGTCTCCTCTTTGATCTGGAGAGTGTGAAGAGATGCCTGAAGCAGCAAGAGCCAGATGAGCAAATTCAATTAAAGCTTCTATAATTAGTCGTGATTAGAGTGTGTTTGTTCACGTATGCTGAAGAGTGTTTGCATGTGGGTGCACGAGCATCTAGCGCTCTGCCAGTGTTCCTCCTGCGCGTTGCCACCTAACAAGGCTGTACACAATTAACAAAGCCTAACTGGCTTAATGAGGGAATAGATGGGAGCTGTTTGATTGGCTTCTCAAGCTCTGATCCTCCATGCAAGATTCTGAGTAAGCTGTTGTACATGATAACATGTATTTTCTCTCACAGTTACGGTTTTTACTTCTGATCTGGATTGCGTGTCCGGGGTTAATTTAAGTTTTTCTATTGTTGTTTCTCTGTTCTAGCTCAGTATGACTGGGAAATTCCATTGAAGTGTTTTTAACATTTCACAATAAGGTAGTGTGTTTAGATAAAATGCACATCAGGAAATACCTCGAGCTAAACTGAGCATAGACAGGAAGTCCGCTTTGCTTAAGAGTTCATTCACCAATTATCACATGCACAGATGATGTTCTAGGAATTTCGTTGGTTATAATATTACATATTAATATATATATTATTATAATATATAATAATTCATTTAATAATATTTTTAATATTCAAATTATTTTATTATTATTATTATTATTAGTAGTAGTAGTAGTAGTTCAAAAGCAGAAACCGAGCAATAATTAATAATCAACTGTGCATATAAAAATTAGAGCCCGACCGATATATCGTTTTGCCGATTTTATCGGCCAATATGAGCCTGTCGCAGATATATCGTATCGGCGAATATGCCGCCGATATGAAATTTTTTTACAGGACATAAAACGCAGATAAAATGCTTGTAAATGGTGGAATTACGTAGTTTGTCCAGCAGAGCATGCTCCATTGTTTGCTACTGGCGACCTGGATGAAACGCTTTAAAGCTTAAGTGTATGGAATACCATTGAAACTTTGAACGGCCATATCGCCATAAAGGCGTGGCGGATCCGCACCAAATTCGGGGGATCCCTTCAGCTCGAGGAACCCTCTCGAACGCCAAATCGAGTGTACGTCTTGAGGCCACCCTTTCGAATGAAACCACCCCGCGTCGATAGCCCCCAGTGTTCGGGAGTTACGGGCGGTTAAATCCGGCGCTGACCGATCTGGCGAGCTGAAGGGATCCCCCGAATTTGGTGGAGATCCGCTGCCGCGTTCACGAGATAGTGACACCAGCCAACACTTTCACTTCAGTAAGGAGGTCTCATGTTCAGGAATAAATACCAGAAACATCGTGATATATTTTTAAGCCCATATCACCCATCCCTAATAGTGACACCAGCCAACACTTTCACTTCAGTAAGGAGGTCTCTTGTTCAGGCAGCAGCATTCAAGCATTGGCTTATTCGACCGTAAGTGCCCTGCGAAGTGGACTTCACATGATATTCCACCATGATTCCAGTTCCAAGGAAACGTACACGTTACATTCAAAAGGCATTAAAGTGCGCGTCTCGTGAATTTATATTGTATTTATTTACAGAGGTATATTATGTCACACTTCTCTAGTAGTTAAAGTGTCCAAAATTTTGACTGGTACTGTACTATAATATACAAAGAATATCAGCCGATATATCGATATCAGCCTTTTTTACGCCCTAATATCGGTATCGGCTCCCAAAAAACCCATATCGGTCAGGCTCTAATAAAAATGTGTTGTATGAGCTGCAAAAAAATCTCTAATGTGAACAAATTTATAAGTTCAATTTTGAAACAAAGGCTGAAATATTCTATTTTGCTAGCAAAATGTCTTAGTTTCCACAGGTGAAAAATCTATTAGAGAAAACCTATTAGAGAAAAGCAATATCCCATCCACTCATCCTAGCAAGTAGGCACTCAGTCAAGCAGTCAGGCATGACAATTAACATAGACTCAGATTCATCAAGCATCACTGACTGATACGTTACACAACGTGCTATGCAACATGACCCTGAAGAACCCAGCTTTCACTTGGCATGCAATATGACAGCAGCTGGGATTTAAAAATATTAAACCTATACACTATTGCAAAGATTAATCTAGGTGGAAATATCAGTTATAAAATAAGGGCATTTGGAAAGGGCATGATGTACTTTAAAAAATAAATATCCTTCCAAATCAAGTGAAACAGACAGAGTTTACAAAGATAATGATTTAGATTGAAGGAAAGATGGGACGGTTTGGTACATAATTGGTATGAGAACAGTAATAATAATTTTCAGGAGAGAAATCTAACTTTGTCTGTACATTGTTTTGGGTGAACTATCCCTTTAAGAGATGTCTTCTTACTCTTAAAACTCCATGAATCCAAACATAGACTAAATAAATGAGACTATCAGTAGAACATTCCATGTCTTTTTACTAGATAAGAAAGTAAGAGAGCTTCAGCTATCAGTCATTGAACCACGGCTTTCTACTACTAGGCTAATCTTAATGAGACTCTCAATCAGATACACATGCAAACATTCCCTAACCAAATCAATCTGAAAGACAAAACCACAGGCACTGGAACAGGAGCTGATCTGTGTAATCTTTTTCAAAAAAAGAGAAAAACAGTATCTCTAAAAAGCCACCTACGTCATTGAAAAGGCTTCGCGTGCCACAATGAGACATTCCAAAACATGCCAAAACCTTGTGCTGTCCTGCACTGCCCTGAATATTTTAATAGCCAGTTGTCTATCTCGTCTGATCCAGAGGCAGACAGAAGGTAAAGACGCTTGGGGATTGGTCTCAGGTGTTGGGACTGCCAGACCCTCTCACCCACTTACAGCAGCCTCACACATCTCAGCTTGTGTTCCCTGACTTAGGGCTCAGGTGCTGATGGTGTCTTTCCTGTAACGTCTGACTGACCTACTAGCCCAATAACAGTCAACACAACAGCTGAGAATGGACAAAAGCTAATGCATGTGGATGATTTGCAGAAAGTGATTTTGTAAATAATTCTAACAAAACATAGTAAAGATAAATCCAAATCTATTCCTAATCTACTTTAAATGATAAACAATCATTTTGTATATCTGAAAATCGTAATGCAACATATGATGCATTGAAGACAATTCAGATATCACAAGGGAAATAAATAATTGATCAGGTACACAGGTTACTACAATGAGTATATATTTGATATATATTGATGTGAGTTATATGAGTTATGTTATTAATTTCAGATTGTACAAAATCAGAGCTACAACTGCTCTGGCGAACATTTACGTTCCACTTCACAGTGAAGCTGTTTGTTTATGCTTGTTTTATTCATTTTCGTCCTTACAGTGAAAGTAAACAGGGTCCAAAACAACATTGGACCCCACTCAGGCCAATATAGATTACTTAAACTACTAGTACTATTGGAAAGAATAAGAGCCTATTTGACAAACACTTAATTTGCTTTCACTGTATGCATGAAAATGAATGAAACAAACATAAACAGCTTCACTATGAAGTGGAAGCAAGTAGTGAACAAATCACATGTATTCAGGCCAATAGGTGACTAAAACTACTAGTACTAAATGTTGGTCAGAGCCGTTGTACCTCTGATTTTGTACAAGGTAAAAATAATATGCAACTCATATGGAAAACAAACACTGGGACATTTTCAAAACATTTTCTTTTGTGTTCCACATAAGAAAGTCATACAGGAACGAGTATGATGACAAAATTTGAATTTCTGGGTCCATTTAATGATATTTAAAGTGTGTGAAACTGTATTAATTAGCAAAATTGACTGAGTGCAAATGTGTTCATCAGTTTAAATGCTCTGTTACGTAAAGCAGTATCACCGCTGTACCGCTGTTAGTCGGTCAGTCTCTCTCTCACCTGACGTGTCCCATAAACTGAGCTCCACGCGCTGCTCCTCTAATTCCAGTACAGCTGTGTAGTTCTCAAACACTGTTGGGACGTATGTCTGTGTGTGGGGGAAACGAAATAAAAGCCGTTATTTAGTGACTTAACATTTCCATAAAAACACTTAAATTTCGTTTAAAACGTTATTTAGTTTCAGTATATATCATAGGTTGTGGTGGTTTGTTGCAAAAGCGTCGTTTTTTTCCCCTGCGTCAACAACACGTGCACAACAACTCACATGAGAAAGATGCATTAAGTATCACCTTGATGTATGATGTATGAATATACAGGATAATCAAACACAGTGCGTAATAGTCACAGTATATGGTTGCATAATGACATAAGCAAGCATCCAAGTGCCTTACTAGCGAACACATACATCAATAGCCGCTCAGTGAATACGTGAGAGCGCAGGACATACCTCAGGATAACAGTCTTTGGCCAAGACTTGCAACATTGCGGTTTTCCCGCACTGCACGTCTCCTACTAAAACCAGTTTACAACGCATTACCAAAGGCTGGCTGATTCTTCTCTCCTTCATTGTAAATAAGATGGTCCTGTGCGCGACGGCTCTCTCGTAAGACGGCCCTGGGCAGTTTGTTCAGACCGCATTGGGGTTTGGACTAAATCTCCACGAAAGAGAGAACTACGGCACTGCGGCAATTTATACAGCTCTGCTGTCCAATCAGCGCCGCGTTCTCCTGCTCGCGCTCGAGTTCCACTGCCCCAGAAATGCGCCCACCCAGCTGGAGTCTGCACATCGATTTAGCCGATATAAATGCTAGCGATGGTAAACGAACCTTATGGGGGGGCTGAAAAGAAGGTTTCCACGCAAGGTGTGAAAATTACATAATAGACGTCACGTGAGATTAATAAAAGTTGAGGGGGAAAAAATCCCTATGATGGAGAACGTCTCAAACGCTTTACGAGTTATCAGTGCATTCGCTACTCTAAATACAAAGTGCTGCACAAAATAATGATGCATGTAGCTTATTAATGTAATCTTAATATTACCCAATTGGTTATATTATGAAAAATACTAAATACCTTCAGCAACAACAACATGAACGCTTATAATGCAAAGTGTGAGCAAAATGTCTACACTTTTTGGGTTAGTGGAAAAATGTCATCATAAGTAGATTCTGACCTTTTAAAATATTTTATTTTATTTTTAAATGTATTATTATTTTTTTTTTACATTTTGTTGTAACTCTCATGAACAAAATAAGCTAAACCACCATTATATGTCATAAAAAGCTAAATTTGTCTGTTAAGTGTTCATAATGACCAATTCATTCTCTGAGGACATTTTAAATAAATTAACTTAAGCAAGTAAAATGTTACAACTGACCCTAAAAGTGGCATTAAAGAACTCTATAGCCTATTGGCTTTACCAAAAGAACCACTTTATTCTCTGAATGACATTTTAAATGTTTGATTTACAGTGTTGCACAGACATCACCTGACAAAAGGCTTACTCACACATGTGTTATGCAATATTTGAGAAACATAAAATTTATCTTGTTCCTAATTTAATTTAATAAAAGATTATACTAAAGTGACCACTTTAAAAAAAGGATTTTTCCATCAATTGGAATTATTCAAATTCATAGCTGTCGCATAGAGAAAGACTTCAAAGTGCGACATCAAGAGCCCATATTCACCTTCTCCTCTGACTCAATGACCGAAACAGGTGGATATACGGCTACACTTCTGTTGAGCTTTATTGAGCGTGAGTTGTGTAAAAGACTGATAACCTCTGACAAATTATTGACTGCTTGTTGAGTAACAGTTTGACTCTGTTTCCTGGTATTTCCTCATTTGTTTGGCCCTGACAAATGAGAGCGTAATCGAACGAGCCCAAAGCTGCACACCCAATAAATCCATAAACTGATCACATTGTGTGTGTATTGTGGACGCATCTTACTGTAATTAAAGCCCGTCCCCTGCACATAGACGCTAATTACATGATACGAAGATTGTAACCGGCTATAATGCTATATTTGGTTCACTCAGGGCAGCGTTTCAGAGAATGTGTTCACACAGACTGTTCCATTTATTTTGAGACCCTTTGTGCTAAAGCCCCTAGGAGTGAAATGATTATGTAACTATCTCTGGTTCCTTTGTATAGCTCAGCCCTCTCTCTCTCTCGGTCTGTCTCTTTCTGCTTATCAAACAAATAATATATTTAGACTAAGAGACAAGGGTACAAACAGTCATAAAAGCTAAAACAGGAAAAGAACTAAAGGGAATTAACGGGAATGGACCTGTTTTAGACCAACTATAGAAATAGTATAGTGTTCTTTCTAGTTTAATTGTACACTTTACCTTCCCATCATATATTTCTGTAAATGTGATTTCTGAATGTATTCCACTCCGCAAAAGCACAGTGTGGCAGCATGTGTATGTTTACAAGAGAGTTCTAGTGTGGTGGCCCAGGCCAGACGGAGACAGATGGTCTGGTCTTCCCCAAACTGAGACAGGAAACACAGCAATGACATCTCAGCTGGGGAGAAGCATCGAGCATGTCCTGCAAGCTGGAGGAAAATGACTGTTCTTAGACATTCTCATATCTATAGACAAGTCTATTTAGTAGTAATGCTTAAAGTAATAGTTTACCCAAAAATGAAAATGGACTCACCCTCAGGCCATGTAGATGGGTTAGTTTGTTCATTGGAAAAGATTTGGAGAAGTTCAGCATTACATCACTTGCTCGCCAATGGATCCTTTGCAGTGAGTGGGTGCCGTCAGAGTACAAACAGCTTTGTGATTAAAACAATCCACACCACTCCAGTCCATGTTCTATTTCTATTCTAACTACTTGTTTTCTTAAAGGGGTCATATGATGTTGCTAAAAATAACATTATTTTGTGTATTTGGTGTAATGAAATGTGTTTATGCGGTTTAAAGTTAAAAAAACATTATTTTCCACATACTGTACATTATTGTTTCTCCTCTATGCCCCGCCTTTCTGAAACACGTCGATTTTTACAAAGCTCATCGGTCTGAAAAAGCGAGGTGTGCTCTGATTGGCCAGCTATCCAATGCGTTGTGATTGGCCGAATACCTCAAGCGTGAGATGGAAATGTTACGCCCAATTGACAATAAAGCAGACTTGACTTGACTTGACTTAAAAAAAGAGCCTCTAACACTAGCATTCCCATATTTTTTTCTATTCTGTCTACTTGTTTTCTTTTTATTTATCATAAAAAACGACACTCCAACACTAGCATTCTCTATTCTTTCTATTCTTTTAACTTGTTTTATTTTTATTAAAAAAGACCCTTTAACAGTAGTGTTCCTTATTCTTTTTTCCATTCTATCTACTTGTTTTCTTTTAATTTATTATAAAAAAAACTTTCTACGTGTACTGCATTAGGCTAACCGAGACTTGTCACAGCACTTACATATTGTTGCTCTTTTGTTGGTTTTGATTGCTTCTATTGTCCTCATTTGTAAGTTGCTTTGGATGAAAGTGTGCTAAATGACTAAATGTAAATGTAATGTAGTGTGTTTGTAAGAAACAAATCCATCATTAAGGTGTTTTAACTTAAAACCATCACTTCTGGCCAAAATACAAATCCATCATCCATAATAACGCTTCCTCTTGTGAAAAAGACCGGGCACCTATTAAATTCACCAACATATATATGTTTAGAACTCTTTTGGACTGTTTTTGCTTGTAAACGGTGCTTGATCTGTGCATATTTCTCTCCTGATTCAGACGAGAGAGCTTTTTCACTGAAGAAAGCAATATTATGGATGATGGACTTTTTTTAAATTTTTGCCAGATGCAATGGTTTGAAGTTAAAAGCATCGTATTTTGATTTGTTTATTACAAACATGGAATTTTTCACTTGACAATATGCTAATTGTTAGACTGGAGTTGTGTGGATTACTTGTGGATTATTGTGATGTTTTTATCAGCTCTTTGGACTCTCATTCTGACGGCACCCATTCACTGCAGAGGATCCATTGGTGAGCAAGTGATGTAATGCTAAATTTCTCCAGATCTGTTTCGATGAAGAAACAAACTCATCTACATCTTGGATGGCCTGAGGGTGAGTACATTTTCAGCAAAATTAAAATATTTGGGTAAACGGTTCCTTTAAGAATTTCATCAATATGAGAGTGAATTTGACTTTGGTATTTGTTCATTGAATATTTAATCAATTTGTGCAAAAAGATATGGTCATCCATTTAACTTGATTGTCATTCATCTCACATAATGCCCTATCTGTTTCTCACTTAGTATCTCTGCCTCTCTCTTACTCTTTCTCTGGCAGTCAGGTTGAATTGTAATGTGTTGAATAATATTCCCAGGTCCTTCACTACATGTGCACACATTCTCTCACTCCGGGGAGAGGTACATTGTAACAGAAGAAAATGCTGTCATTTCATACTGAAAATTGTATTTCTAGCTCACTGAACCACCAGGGCTATAGATTAAAAAGGGAGAGGACAGAATATAGAACAAGTTGTTTGACAAGCATGTGATACAAAAGTTTGTGCCCAGATTGATTAGTGATATTTTGTAGCAGTATCAATATAGTAAAATGATGCTCATTTATAATGTATGTAATGTATGTAATGTATGGAGTGTTGCCTGGGCTCATTGAGGTTTCCTGCTGCATTCTGGTTGGATAATAGTTGAAAGGCCGTGATTTCATCACCCCTTACATCCACACAACTGTAGTTTGCTTCACTTGACCCACTGCACTGCTTCTGATGTGATACATTTGTAATCAGTATGAGTACATATACTTTATTCCTACACTGTAATACTCCAATCATCTAACAATGATGTGCATTACATTTTTTATATTTTAAGATTATTTCAGTACATCTACAGTACATCTAATTAGATCTGGGATTATGTAAGTTGAAAGAGAAATCACCTTTACTATTACTTCTCTTTTACTTTTGCTTTTCATATCTTAACACTAAGGAGTTTTTCTTCTGATGGCACAGTCTGGCCAGTTGTTTCTTCAGCAATGTAGTTTTATATTTTCTATATGTTCATCATTAATGTTTTCATTGCAGTTTTTACAATAGACCTTGTTTAAAAACTTTTTAACACCTTGTATTATTCATCAAGAAAAGATAAACATCAAGGAAAGATAAATAGGACCTCAGATATAAAACAAGACAGAGACACAACAGAACTGGCGAAACAGTAGCCTAATATTTAGAGTGATCCTGTCTTAACACTTGATGTGTTTGTCATCTGTCGCACTGAAGACTCGTGCAAGGCGTGCGTTTTAAGGGTAGTGCTGACCTCAGGTGGTTGATGTTGGTAACAGTTTTTTTTATCTGGAAAAAGAAATGGCGTAGAAACAGTTTTCACTCTGAAATTGCAAATGGCAAACACTTGAATTAAAGTGAAATTTTAAAGTTGTAAAACTTAATTTTTTTTCTGTTTAGTACATACTCCAATTATAAAACATACTCCAATAATCTTACACTGTATGAGACATAACAATCAATCAATCAATTCATACATATATAATAAATTACAGCATTCAGACATATTTAGGCAAATATATCATGAACAAGATTAAACATCAGGTATATAGAATGCTTAAGCAAATATTAGTTAAAATACAATTTTTATATGTGTATATTTTCAGATCGGTCTTGTTTGATATAAAATACAAAGGTTTTTATATTTTTCAAGAAAGTACAATGAACACTAAAATACAATGAACATTTGAAATAACTTGTTTATGTTTTATATT